TGCTTACAGGTCATTATTCAGAACTAGGGTCAGCAGAGCCAACTAAGTATGTCTTCATGCAGTATGCAGATCAGATAATGGGACTTTTCCTGAGAGTTTTTGCTTGCAGAATTGCAACTGTCCATGAGGAGCCATGCTTGCCATTGGAGCCCTTGCCTATGCTACAGGCCCTGATTTTGAAAATACATGCCAGAGTTCTATAAATATTTGGAAATGGTCTTCAGAATTTTGAGGAGTATCAAGTGTGTGCTGTACTGTGGGTGTGGTGGAGATATTGCAGAGCATTGGAGGAAAAAATTCTTCCTTATTGTGATGGGATTATGACACAACTTCTCAAAGATTTATCAAGCAACCAGCTGCACGATCTGTAACCACCCATATTTTCATGCTTGGGTGATATCGCACTGGCAATAGGAGAAAACTTTGAGAAGTACTTATGTATGCCATGCCCATGCCCAGAGTGCAGCAGATTTGTCTGCCCCACATCGGGTGCGATGATGTATGACAGAGTACACTAATCTCTCAGAAACGGATATTGGAGGCATATTCTGGGATTTTCCAAGGGTTTAAGAACTCTCCAAAAACCCAGCCTTGATTCCTTATGCACCTCATTCCTTCAGTCTTGGATAGCATATACATGGGAAGACATGTGAGTTATACTAAAAAAACCTTTGTATCCTACACTTTGATACAGTAATATTATACTTTTATGGTTATAATCTTTTATCATTCAACTGTAGGGATGAAGTGGTGATGAAGACAGCTATGGGCTTCTTGGAGATCTTGCAGATACACTGGGAAGTAATGCAGTTTCTTTGATGCAGTCTCTTTCAGCAAAGACTTTTTAAATGAATGCTTGTCTTCCGATGACCATATGATTAAAGAACTCTCTGAGTGGGCCAAGTTGGCCATTAGTAAGGCCATTTCTGTTTGAGGCTATTGCCACTGTGCATAGTCTTTTCCTTTTCCAAGTCCCTGCATGCTTTGGGTGTGTTGAGTTGGGGTCAAGGATTGCATTTGTCAGGTCATCACCATATTCAGACAACAAGTCATTGTTCTTCTTGTTGTTGCTAACTCTTGCATCAGCACCATGGGGTCGGGTTGTTGTTAAGTCATGGAGGAAGTAGGTGGTGGCAGTGTCGCTGAAGTCGGTGAATTCCTCCATAAAAAAACTTGAAAAAAAAATTATGTTATCAAGGAGGATTGGAGTCGGAGAGTAAGAGAAGCAGCTAATAGCGACATGCTGATTTACAAGACTAATACATCATCATGGTAGATTTGTTGGCCCTTGTGGGCAGCACCAAATTTTATTAGAGATAACACCTATTGGTGTGCATTCCCACATGGTTATGGTGGCCGGAATGAACGACAGTGAGGAGTTGGTTCAAGTGTTGCGACACTTGAAAGGCACTGGCGTTTTGAAAATCTTCTTCCTTCACCCTTCTTTATTGATTTCCTTAACTTGAGTCCGCATCGTCTCATGGCGGGTTTTTACAAGATATGATTGGCTAATTTAAAGTTAAAATTAAACTTTTACCCAATCACATCTTACCACATAATGTTGTATGAGAAATGTTGTATGGAAATGATGTATGTGTAGTATTATTCATTTAGATTAGAACTAAGCTCTGATACCAATTTGTAGTGACTTATTAGGGTTTTCAACTATGTTGATCAAATCAATCAATGAGCTAACACAATCTTATCAATAAACATGCAATCAATTCCAGAGATTAAGTAAAACATGAAAGAACATAATAGAAATTGACACAGGGGATTTATAGTGGTTCGGCTAAGGTAGCCTATATCCACTTTTCAAGGCACACTATAGGGTATTTCATTAATCAAGGAAACCAAGATTATAGAGAGTATACAACCAGAGAAATACAAGAAAGAACACACCCGATTAAGCCCTCTCACAACTCTGTTTTCTCTCACATATATTGGTATGATTTTATACAGATGAGGACTTTGTTGAGCATCCTCCAACTGTCCAGTATGATCTGCAATCGATTGGAGAAGATGGGCATTAGAATCTTCTGTCATGAACGAAGAGTTAGGGCTAAAATGGGACCAGAGAGAAAGAGAGATGAGCTATGAATTTGTTGCAACAGAATGGGTTTCGAGTGCCAGATAGGGCACTTAAGTTTGATAGCCAAAACGACGCCGTCTTAGTTTAAGTTGAATTTGATTTCTTTGATTGATGCTGACTCCCCATGGCAATTTCAAGCCACATCATCATCATCATCATCATCATCATCATATATATATATATATATATATATATATAACCGAAAGGAGGGGACTCCCCTCCAACTCCAACTCTCCAAGCAAAACACCTTGGGGCAGGTCAAGGCAGCAACAAAACAAGAAGCAAAAATAAACAAAAACAAAAGATCCTTTATGATCAAAGCCGAATCAAGAAAGAAACTCCATAGTCCAGCTATCCCCTTTTATTCCATAATTCGCAATGGTTACCCTCTAAAAACACAACACGAATTGCAAACAAAAGAATCGGCCATTTCCTTCACCAATATGCCTAACCAAACAAAGCAAAAGCAAAACATAGGCATTCTTGTGAAGAGTTTCCACAACAGACAAGCACATAATTTGGTTTCTTCAAGGATTTACTTCACATTTAAACAATAGAAGGGAGAGGGAGAGAGGAAATGGTGGGGAGGAGGAGCTCGAGGAAGGGGTGGAGGAGGAAATGGTGGTAGGTTTGGTGGAGGTGCAAGTGGTATGATTCCGGCCGAACTGCACACTGTCGGATGCAATTTTGGCCAAACCGCACTCCGCCAAATGCGATTTGGCCGAAATCACACCCGACCTAAGTAGAATCACCCCAAATCTGATACGATTCCAGTTGGAATCGCATCAGTTAGGTGCGATTTAGATGGATGGGAAGATGAAGAAGATGAAGACGAGAAGAGTGGGAGATGAAGATGGGAGGAGGAGGAGGGGGAGAGAAAAGTGAAAGGGAGGAGAAAGGAAAAAAAAAAATAAGAGAGAGAAGAGGCGAAGAAGATGAAGTGATGAGAGGGAAAGAAAGAGAAAATGGAGTAAAAGATAATAAATAAATAAGAAAAAAATTTGGGATTTTATAGAATATAAAAAGTCGAAATTATCCCTTAAAGATGAAAGAACATCAATAATGTCATATCAATTGGCAATGGACCGGGCGGGACTGGGTATGATAGGTAAAGCCCGACTTCATGACAAAGGCCCAAGCCCGGCCCGAGCCCATCACGGGTATGATAGGTAAAGCCCAAGCCAAGCCCGACGGGTTTTTTGTAACCTCAGACCCGGCCCAAGCTCGCCCATTTTTATACTATGAATTTTTAAATATTAATAAATATCAATTTTTTTTTATAGTTTTAATTCTAAACATAGTTTTTAAATATTTATTTATTTTTGAATATTCATCAAATGGGATGAGATTAGGGATGGAAAAAATGGGTATATATATATCGGATAATCTTGTAATTAAATATATAGTATAAAGATAATTTAGTAAAATTAATACTAAACTAGCCAGGCCGGGCCGGGCCTGAACACTGGGTAAAGCCCAACCTTTTCGGGCCGGGCCGGGTACTCGAAAATATCAGGCCCATTGCCATCTCTAATTTGTCATTTCAAAACTTTTTGGGTAACAATTTACGTTTAGAGCAAACTCTGGGTAAGTATAAGTCGTTCCTCCCAAATTGTATCTTAAAATTTAAAAATGATTTTAAGATGATGAATAAATCAAAATGAGCTCTTTGCTTACTTCCTGATTAAGGTAAAAAGTGAGGGTGTAGGAAACAATTAAAGTAGACCATCAGTATGCGATAACTCCCTCGAATTTTAACCACTAATATACAGATTAGAATTATGCAAGCACAGCTTAGCTTCACATCCGCGTCTCTCACTATCTTTCTTCTCTCCTTCTGTCTCTCTCTTAGGGTTTCAGTACGCGCCGTTTCACTCTTCTGAATCAGTGTCAGCATTGCCACCATCAGGTTCTACACTCGCAGGTGATTTTATCATTTCGTCTTTTGAATTCCGGGTCATGCTATTCAATAATCAGCATTCGGTCGATTTTCAATCTGTTGATCACTTTTAATTTGGACGAATTCGATATTCGATCTGAAATTTTCCGCTAATTTAGCTGTATAGTTACTGTTTCACTCGTTAATTTATTAGTTTATTTATTGATTATTTTTATCCAATTGTAAGATTTTTTTGGATCCAATCTGATTTGATCTTTTATTATTATTTAATAAATTTAGGGGTTTTAATGGATCGAGATTTAAATTTATTATAGATTTTAGTGAGCTTTATGGTTCATATAGAATTTTATCCAATTAATTTATGTTGATTGATTTATTCATGTTTACTGTACTTTAATTTAATTTTGGCACGAGAATTACATATTAATAATATTATGATTGATTGATTGATTAAACATGATGCACATAGTTCTCTGATTTTGTTATGTTATTTTTCTGATAGTATGAGAGTGTAGTTGTGTTGATATTGTTTATTTATATATTCGTTGTAAAGATTGTGTTTTGATTTATGTCTTGATTGCTACTAAGGGTTTGATTTCTAATCATAGATTATGTTGTTTGGTTTCTGTGGAAACAATATGTATATAGATGATTTTTGTGTTAGAGTTGTGCAAACTTGATGCTGTTGTTGATTATTAATTTATCTATTTATTCTGCTGAATTTTGTTTTCAACTTTCTCCCATTCATTGTCTATAAGTTTAGTATTACTTTATGTGTTGAAAGGATAAATAACTTTTAACCTGGTCCATTGAAACTATTAAATTCTGCTCCTTTAACGGTATTTGTACAATTGGTCATTTTATCATATTTATTCTATGTTCTTTTAGTTCTTTATTGGTTTGGTTTTTGGATTTGAGAATTGTGTGTCTATGCTTGTGCCTTTTTTTTTCTAAGTGTAGTTAGTTTTGAAGACAATGCATCTGACTGATTAGATAATTGATGCTTTCAGATAAAATATGGCAATGGAAGTTACCCAGGTTCTTTTGAATGCACAATCAATAGATGGAACTGTGCGGAAGCATGCAGAAGATAGTTTGAAGCAGTTTCAGGAGCAAAATCTTCCCAGTTTCTTACTGTCTCTCTCTGGGGAGTTAGCAAATGATGACAAACCTATTGATAGCCGTAAATTAGCAGGTTTGATACTTAAAAATGCCTTGGATGCCAAGGAGCAACACAGAAAATTTGAACTAGTGCAAAGATGGCTGTCATTGGATGTCAATGTGAAGACTCAGATCAAGGCATGCTTGTTGAAGACCCTGACATCTCCTGTACCTGATGCTCGGTCAACTGCATCTCAAGTTATTGCCAAGATTGCAGGCATTGAGTTGCCACAGAAACAATGGCCTGAGCTGATAGGTTCACTTTTATCAAATATTCACCAGCTGCCTGCTCATGTTAAGCAAGCCACTTTAGAAACACTTGGGTATTTATGTGAGGAAGTGTCGCCTGATGTTGTAGATCAAGATCATGTAAATAAAATACTTACCGCTGTGGTTCAAGGTATGAATGCTAATGAAGGGAACAATGATGTTCGGCTTGCTGCTACCCGAGCTTTGTACAATGCCCTGAGCTTTGCTCAGGCAAACTTTAGCAATGACATGGAGCGTGATTATATCATGAGGGTGGTTTGTGAGGCAACACAATCCACAGATTTGAAGATAAGACAGGCAGCTTTTGAGTGTCTTGTCTCCATTTCATCGACATACTATGAGAAATTAGCACCTTATATGCAGGATATTTATAGCATCACGGCAAAGGCTGTAAGAGAAGATGAGGAACCTGTTGCGCTTCAAGCCATTGAGTTCTGGAGTTCAATTTGTGATGAAGAAATAGATATTTTGGAAGAGTATGGGGGTGATTTTACTGGGGACTCGGACATTCCTTGCTTTTACTTTATTAAGCAGGCACTTCCTGCACTTGTCCCAATGCTTTTGGAGACACTCCTTAAGCAAGAGGAGGATCAGGATCAGGATGAGGGGGCTTGGAATATTGCAATGGCTGGGGGTACCTGTCTGGGTTTGGTTGCACGGACAGTTGGAGATGATATAGTTCCCCTTGTCATCCCCTTCATTGAAGAGAACATAACGAAACCAGACTGGAGGCAAAGGGAGGCAGCCACTTATGCTTTTGGTTCAATCTTGGAGGGTCCTTCACCTGACAAGTTAGTACATGTTGTTAATGTTGCTTTAACCTTCATGCTCAATGCTTTAACAAAGGATCCAAACAACCATGTGAAAGACACTTCTGCTTGGACCCTTGGAAGGATTTTTGAATTCCTTCACGGTTCAACCATAGATACACCCATAATTACGCCAGCAAATTGCCAACAGATCATCACAGTTCTGCTGCAGAGTATGAAAGACACTCCAAATGTTGCTGAGAAGGCCTGTGGTGCTCTCTATTTTCTTGCCCAAGGTTATGAGGATGTGGGTCCATCATCTCCTCTGACTCCCTTTTTCCAGGAAATTGTTCAGTCCCTTCTCACTGTTACTCACAGAGAAGATGCTGGGGAGTCACGATTAAGGACTGCTGCATATGAAACATTGAATGAGGTGGTTAGGTCTTCGACTGATGAAACAGCACCCATGGTGTTGCAACTGGTACCTGTCATCATGATGGAGCTTCACAAGACTCTTGAGGGGCAGAAACTCTCATCTGATGAGAGAGAAAAACAGAGTGAGTTACAAGGACTCCTTTGTGGTTGCTTACAGGTGATTATTCAGAAGCTAGGGTCTGCAGAGCCAACTAAGTATGTCTTCATGCAGTATGCAGATCAGATAATGGGACTTTTCCTGAGAGTTTTTGCTTGCAGAAGTGCAACTGTCCATGAGGAGGCCATGCTTGCCATTGGAGCCCTTGCCTATGCTACAGGCCCTGATTTTGCAAAATACATGCCAGAGTTCTATAAATATTTGGAAATGGGTCTTCAGAATTTTGAGGAGTATCAAGTGTGTGCTGTTACTGTGGGTGTGGTGGGAGATATTTGCAGAGCATTGGAGGAAAAAATTCTTCCTTATTGTGATGGGATTATGACACAACTTCTCAAAGATTTATCAAGCAACCAGCTGCACCGATCTGTAAAGCCACCCATATTTTCATGCTTTGGTGATATCGCACTGGCAATAGGAGAAAACTTTGAGAAGTACTTAATGTATGCCATGCCCATGCTCCAGAGTGCAGCAGATTTGTCTGCCCACACATCGGGTGCTGATGATGATATGACAGAGTACACTAATTCTCTGAGAAACGGGATATTGGAGGCATATTCTGGGATTTTCCAAGGGTTTAAGAACTCTCCAAAAACCCAGCTCTTGATTCCTTATGCACCTCATATCCTTCAGTTCTTGGATAGCATATACATGGAGAAAGACATGTGAGTTATACTAAAAAAACCTTTAGTATCCTACACTTTGATACAGTATATATATATACTTTTATGGTTAATAATCTTTTATCATTCAACTGTAGGGATGAAGTGGTGATGAAGACAGCTATTGGGCTTCTTGGAGATCTTGCAGATACACTGGGAAGTAATGCAGGTTCTTTGATTCAGCAGTCTCTTTCAAGCAAAGACTTTTTAAATGAATGCTTGTCTTCCGATGACCATATGATTAAAGAATCTGCTGAGTGGGCCAAGTTGGCCATTAGTAAGGCCATTTCTGTTTGAGGCTATTGCCACTGTGCATAGTCTTTTCCTTTTACAAGTCCCTGCATGCATTTGGGTGTGTTGAGTTGGGGTCAAGGATTGCATTTGTCAGGTCATCACCATATTCAGACAACAGAAGTCATTGTTCTTCTTGTTGTTGCTAACTCTTGCATCAGCACCATGGGGTCGGGTTGTTTTTAAGTCATGGAGGAAGTAGGTGGTGGCAGTGTCGCTGAAGTCGGTGAATTCCTCCATAAAAAAACTTGAAAAAAACAATTATGTATCAAGGAGGATTGGAGTCGGGAGAGTAAGAGAAGCAGCTAATAGCGACATGCTGATTTACAAGACTAATACATCATCATGGTAGATTGTTGGCCCTTGTGGGCAGCACCAAATTTTATTAGAGATAACACCTATTGGTGTGCATTCCCACATGGTTATGGTGGCCGGAATGAACGACAGTGAGGAGTTGGTTCAAGTGTTGCGACACTTGAAAGGCACTGGCGTTTTGAAAATCTTCTTCCTTCACCCTTCTCTTATTGATTTTCCTTAACTTGAGTCCGCATCGTCTGTCATGGTCGGGTTGTTTATGATCTCCTACATCTTATTTTTGCAAAGTTGGTGGAATGGGTTTCACCCAAAATTGAGATCATAACAGTTTGCATTTTGTTGCATCATTCTATTTATCATTGTTAGTCAAAAAGGCCAATACATGCATTCATTCATAAAGGTTTTATTATTATTATTTGTCTTGTTTAATTTTTATCAAAGTACAGGATTTTATTTTATTTGAGGTTAAGATTGTGTATCATAGTTTGTATTTGCGTTTGTAGAGGGAGTGGTAGATGAAATGTCACGAATTGTGATGACATTTATAGGTGTGATGAGGCAGTGTATTTGTGGTCTTGCCTCATATCATATTCATATGTTATTTTTCTAGTGATGTTATGAAATTAAAGGATTTTTGTGAATTCTTTTTTGGTTTAGTGATGTTTAGTCTTTGATGTGTTATACTAGTGTCAATATATTTTGTATAATTAATTTGGAAATGAATATGTTGCTTTAAATATTTTAATTCATGTTTATTTTCCAGCCTTGAAGGCCATTTCAATGTAAATAATATTCTATGTACATTAAACCTAATTGTTTTATAATTCGACTGAGATTTTTTAATTTAACTTTTCTACTATTAAGATTAAGAATTTCTTTTTTTTTTTTTTGTTAAGAAAAAGAGCGATCCTGAAAGCCCCCACGAACTTATCATCACCTGGTTTATATTGAGATTGGAGATGAATATATTTTTAACAAGGAATGGATTATATAGATTTCAAAATATAAGAAAAGAGAATTAAGTACGTTTGAAATAATATTAAGGGGAACAACTTACACCCTCCCAAGGTTGGCAAAACACGATTGGTATCCAAAAGGTTTCAAAACGCACAAACCGGTATTTTCCGTTAGTGAAAGACTGAATGCCTTTGAGAAATATTAGTCTATTTTTTTATTATTTTTAGACCCTTTAAGTTTATTAATTTCATCAAACCCCCAAAAAAAGTTTAAAAATTAACAAAAATATCCCCATCCACCCATACTTGCCAGATTCCGACGGCCACCGCTGGTTGGTAGCCAGAATCTGTTACAACTTCTACTCTAACACTAGAAGGTCGGTATTCACCGATCTGGCCTTTTCTGCCTATCTGGCCGTCGTACGGTCGCAACACTTCAGCACGGCTGTAAAGATGTGGCCGTCGTTGACAATCAACGAAGACCATTCTTTGGCATCAATTCCGGCTAGATTTGGCCTTTTCACGTCAGATCTGACCGGAAAAAGCAAATCTGTGAATTACCAGTCTATTTACGGTGGTGGCGTAGACTGTTGTGACAGATTCCGGCTACCACCGGCGGTGGGCGCGGAATCTGGCAAGTTGGGTGAGTGAGGGTGTTTTGTTAATTTTAACTTTTTTCTGGGGTATTTATGGAATTAATAAACTTAAGGGGTCTAAAATTAATTAAAAAAATAGACTAATATTTCTTAAAGGGCATTCTCGTCTTTCACTAATGAAAGGTACTTGTTTGTCATTTGAAACCTTTTGGATACCAATCGTCGTTTCGCCAAACCTTGGGTAGGTATAAGCCTTCGGCCTAATATTAAATTGATTTTTCAAATAATCACAATTTTATTTTGGGGTTTGTCACGTGTTTTGCCTGTGCAATGTTATTTTTTGATAATAAATAATTTATTGGAGATTGTAGTGGGTATAAATAACTCGCCTTTTTATGATTAGTGAGCCGTGTATTATATATATTGTGCTGAAATTAAAGATACGTAGATAAAATTCCAGTGAAATCTTCAAAAATTAGACAACACCGGGTACTTTAAAAAAATGATCCTTCAATTGTCCAAAAGAAAACTACCCTTTATTTAAGTAAATATACGAACATACCTTTTAAAGTATCCTTAAACTTGCGTATGTTATTGACTGTGTATCTTCCTCAAACTTTTGGTATAAAAATCCATTAATGCCTATGTAGACCGATTTTGTATTGAAGGATGTGATATCCAATCAGAGTGATACGTGGGAGACAAAACAAGTCTTCGTGAATGAATGATCGTCAATAATTATGGACGTCCTCCTATTTTAATAGTGGTGTCATCAGAAATAGACGAAAATGCACAAACATATTAGTAAACTCTCATCCATATTATATGAACAGATGTCCTTTATCGTGGATGAGCACTCACTTCGATGGACGCCCGTCATAAAATTATAAAATAAAACAGTGGCGATGGTTTTTTTTACGTAACTGGATGCTTTTTTTCTTTTATTTTCTTTCTTCCACTTCAAAAAACTACTCTTTTCTTCTTCCCCTTTAATCTCTTCCATCTCTAAAATCTTGTATAAAAGTGACTGACATAATCCCGCTGAAGTAGTTCTCTTCAAAGTTGAAACAACCCAACTCTTTTCATTGGTTTTTGTTTACATTTATGGCTCAATTCACAGCGCAAGGTCGTTTAAAGCTGCTTTTCAATGGTTATGGAGCGTCATTTGGTGTGGGAACAAGAGTAATAGCACAACCGAATCTCACCAAACTGATAAAGCTCAAGACCAATTCAAACATGAAGATATAGATAAACATTTACGGGAGTAAATCTGGGAACTAACAAACTATCTGTAAATTTAAATATTTTCTACTGCTGTAACAGATTGAGCTTATCCAAAATCATGCATAAATAAAACAACATGTGATCCTCCTGATTGTGTGAGGAAACATTTTCTACCATCTGTCTTGTTTGATTCTTTAAAGAGACCCTTTTCACTACAAGTTTCGAACTTTAAGATCAATTCAAGCTCACAGAAGAGGGCTCAGGTTTCTTAAGTCTACCACAAGATTTTACTCTTCTTTCAGTGAGAAGAAATCGAGACTGTTCTATGTAGAGGCGAGTATTAATGTGAGTGATGCAGGGATTATGACGAAAACGAAGAGTATGACAGTGATTTTGAGACTCATGACTTGGCTTATTTTAGAGGACTGGTTTTGGATATCTCTTATAGGCAAGGTGTTTCTGGAGCTTACTTCATGCCTTAACATTTTTGTTCAGTTTTGATTCTTTTAATGTTAGTTCGTACTTGTTTATTGAGAAGATGGTTTATTTACTACACTGGTTTTTGTTAGATTTTGATTTGGGTTGTGAATTTTTTCTAGTTGTTTGTGTTTTGTAAAGAGTTAATTTGAGTTGGAATTTAAGTAATTCAGCGGTTTGTATGCAGTTGATGATGCAGGAGTACGCATTTCTTAGCTATTATTTGAACCAAGTATTAATTTTATGATGGACGAGCATCCCTTGTTTTGTTTTTATAATTTTATGGACGGCCGTCCGTCTATAGTAATTGAACACCCGTCCATATAATATGGACGAGAGTCTATTGATATTTTTGTGAACGCTCGTCCATTCGTGATGAACAATCGTTCATAAAATATGGATAAGCGTTCATAATTGTTGGACGATCATTCATTTATGAAAGACGTTTTTTGTCTCCAACGTGGCCGCATCTAACTGAATGTCACGTCCTTTGGTACCAAAATTTGATGCAAAAAATTGGTGTATGTAGCATTATTGATAAAAATCGCGGCTATTTTGACTGGTAAATATTTTATTTTATTTTTTATGTTTTAAGCGTTTTCTTAGTTAATTTATATCGTTGATTTTTAAAGTGTTGAAATATCCTTGATCTTGAATTTAACTTGTTATGTGAATTTTGATTTGGGGTAATCTTATTTTGTAATTTCAGGTTTCATTTAGCTTGTAAAACGTGGAACTACTGCCATAAGAATTTTACTTGTTTATTTTTAAACCCTAACTGTAACTGTATAGGATTTATACCTAGAAAGTGAAATATAAGATGGATGTGACATAGTCATTAAAATTATATATGATGTATAATTTTAGTGCATTCTGATTTAGCAACCTCAGTGATTCTTGAACTTGTTTCAGAATTACAGAATCAAGAGAGGGCATAAGTTAAGATCACTAAAACAAAAAATAAATATAAATTATTTATAATTATATTGTTACATTTTATTTATAAAAGATAAATAAACATGTTTTTTTAATGTAATCTATATCTTTAAAATGTTGATATATATATATATAATTATATTGGTACATTTTATTTATAAAAGACAAATAAACATGTTTTTTAATGTAATCTATATCTTTAAAATGTTGTATTTCGGTAGTTTTCTTGTGATAATATATCTCAACTTTCGATTTTTTTTTTTCTCTCATAACTGTACTTTTAATCTTTGGATAGGCTAGATTTTACTTTGTTTTGCTTTAGTTTTTACTGTTGTTCTGTCATGATTTTGAATCTTAACAATTCACAATGATTTTTGATCTAGTACTAGTCAATAATTCTCGAGGCTAAATGAGTAGTCCTTTGAGATAGTTGTGAAAACATAACATAATAACTCATGGCACAGTAATTAATTTATACAGATTATATTTTAAAGAAAATAAAGAATGAAAGTATGAAAGAACATCAACTCAATTTCTTCTGTGATCTGCCTTTCTATTGAATAAAGAAAACAAAAATAAATAGGTTACAATGGTGAGACAATTCCGAAAAGAAATCTCTCTTAAAGGAAAAATAAAAATAAATTAAGAAAATTTGACAATTAAGAATTCAATCTTCTTGTAAAAGGAAAAGAATAATTAAGAAATAAAAAACTCCTAAAATAATAAAACTCCTAAAAAACAAA